TGATGCAACAGAAAAAAGATCAAGAACTGGAGAATGATCGAGATGGATTGTCCAGTGGCCATTTTTTTAACCAAAGTGATGTCGAAAACTTAGCTAATGCAAAAATGCTCTTTGCGAGCTTTAGTGAATAGAATTAGTAATTTAGAGTGATGAATCAAGATACCTAATATTCCAAAATAATTCCGGTAATGGGTTTGGCGCTGACCACATGAAAAATACGATGTTGATTATCTTCTTCCTAGTATGAAATCAGGTAATTAGGGAATAATGATGTGGAGATGTTTTACTTAAATTCACTTGGACCATTAATCAAAGTTAAAGACAGAATAACCGGTTAAACTATATAGAAATAATGAAACAGAATCTTCTGCCATTTCTAAATGATTTGCCAGGTAGTTCTATTCATCTTTTTCAAGATGATAATGCGCCAGTTCACAGATATGGTGCAGCCAGTCAATGGAAAGAGGAAAATTCAATTACTTCACTTCCATGGCCTGCCCAGAGCCCTGATCTAAATCAAATTGAGCATTTGTAGGATGTTTTGGAAAGACGAATTCGTGCACGTCCAACTCACCTCAAAAATCTAAAAGAATTGATGGATGCACTTGCGGCGGAATGGGAAAAAATTAAACCAGAAAGTATGCTGAGAAGAGTACAAGCTGTAATAGATGCTAATGGGTATCCAACCCGATATTAAATTATATGTATAAAAGCCCTACTTTTACTTAATAGAATGATATATTTTTCATTGTAATATATTTATGAAGAGGTCGAGTAATATAAAATTAAAGTATCACAAATTTCGCGATCTACATTGCTGATCATTTCCCGCTTTTGACCACCGAGTGTTCATAATTATATGATCAAAATTGAGTACAGATTTTAATTTTAAGCATGAAAATAGTTGCGACACTGACATCCAATATTTTAAGGTGGGCGTCATGATATCTTACCTGGGGGCGGTGGAGGTAAAAAGCCATAAATTATACCACTTTTATTAAAATAAAAAATTTTAACTGCTGTTACGTATGAGAAATAAATTAGAGTTATTCCATTGAGATAAAACATTTCAAATTTTATATCAGATACTGTTTTGACTTTAAACAAGATGCAAATACAGTACGTATTTTTTTTATTTATTTTACAATTGATGTATTATTATTACAATATAAATTAATTGGTATAAAGATTACATGCTCAATATTCAAATTAGATTAATCTAAAAATATATCTATATGTTTTTTAACAAATATCTTGAACGTTTTCAAGTGCATGTACATCAGGGTTTTCCTGATGAATTGAAACATGCATTATATACATACCTAGGCAAATAAAAATTTATACATGTACACTCAACGCAGGCGTCTGAATAGAATCGATGGACTCGAAAGTGTCTGTAGTTTGAAATGGTAATCTATCATCGCTATTAACATCCTCATGATTAGATTTTTCATCTTGTGAAAGATGCGATAGCCGGCGATTAATGAAAATATCTTGGCAACTAATATAGAATAAAAAATACCAACATATCGCGCTGAACGTAACTACAATTAAACTTATTACATAAGGAAGATAATACGTGTAATGAGTCCCTTTATCATTGTTGTCGTTATAATCACATGAACTTCTCCTTTTCGATGTAATATTGGCTTTTGGTAACTCATTATATGAATCATTAGTTTGAACTCTATTATTGTTATTAGTGTGAGATCCATTATCGATAAACGATCCGCATATTATAAATAAAGCAAAACAAACGAATAAAAACGGAAAGATTCGGAATACTTTGAAAGGACGCTGTAAATCGGGTCTTCGTTTTCTCAAAACCTAAAAATTTTCAATTTTTAATATAGAACCTCCAAAAATAATAATCAAATCATAAATTAAGTATAATGCAAACCAATAATCCCAAAGCACTAAGACCGAAAAATATCCACGAAGTATATTCTGAAACTATGACGAGAAATTGGAACGGATCTCCATAAGGATAAAAAAGTATAATCACCGAACACCATATTGACTGAGCAAGCTGAAAAATCAGGTTAATGAACTATACAATTCATAACTCTTTCGCCGATAAATAATATATATATATATATTTACCAACGCATTTATCGGAGTATCAGTTTTATTATTCCATGCAGAAAGCCATGGTGAAAATATCGGAATATAATTCGCTTTAGCTGCAGCCACAATTATTCTTGAACCACTCCACATCATTGCTGCTAAAGCGCCAAATGCTGATAAACACACAAAAAACGATAGAGCACGAGCAAGATTCAAGCCGCCAACATTCAATGCGAATTGTCCAGCAATAATTTCAGAGGGATCAAATCCTCCCGTTACTTGAGTTAATGGCACATTAGTGTATGCAACATTTGCCAATAGATCTAAATACATGTATTAAGAAATCACATTTAATAACGATAAGGAGGTTGGATAAGGCTAAATAAAGCACGTAAAGTTAACAAATACCTACATAAGATGGTAACAATTCCAACACTAATGGTGTTTGATGCCAATAATTTCTTTTTTGGATCAATGAATTCATCCAAAGTATCTGTAAGAAAACATAAACCTTTTATAGTTTCACTGATTGCAAAAATGGTTATTTTTATCTTCGTAATAACTCACAATTTAAATTATTCCAACCATTGTATGCAAATAAAATAGGAATAAGTCCTCCGGTCAAAGTGCGAGCATTAATCTCAACGTTAGGAAACAAATTTTTCCAATTTGACGGATTTGTAGAGTCTGATTCGGAGATAGATTTCTTAATTGTCGCTAATCCCACAGCCGAGATTACTACGAGAGTCGTCATTTTTATAGTTATTAATGTTTGATTTATGCGATTTGCCCATATGTTGGATATTATATGATAAACTGTTATTATCCAAATTACTGTGAAGGAAATTAGTCGAAGTCGCCTAGTTTCCAAATATTAATTTTTCTGATTAATAAAGTGAGGAATCGAGCGCACTTGAATATCTTCGGATCTTACCAAAATTCGTAATCTGACAAATATTTTTTCGGATGAAGGTCCTCGGAATTTTCACATTCTCCCTTGGCAGTGATCAAATATACAAAATATTGAGCTACCACGTTAGCGTCTGCTGAAATCGCACCAGGACGTATCGCGCTAAATTAATACTGAGAATTAGGATGAAATAAACTCATAAAGAATCAAATCTAAAATTTTAAAAAATAAAATTTTACACAATCATCGTGAAACTAAACATATAACTAAAAAGTGCACGGGGACGAGGAAATGCTGTTTTCAAATATATAGTTTCTCCACCTCCATCCGAAAGTGAACTGCCCAACTATTCTTTCCGTTTAACAACAAAAAAAAATGATCAATACTTTTTCTACTCATGATACAGTTAATGAAATGAATGCTTTCATGCAAAATGTGAACAAACCTCAACATAAGATAAGGATCCACAGAGAGCAACTATCCCACCTATCAGCCATAAAATCAACGCTATTCCAGGAGACTTCACTTTATGCAGCACTAACCCTGGGCTCGAAAATATTCCGGCTCCCACCATATTATTGCAATTATTTCCAATGCCCGCAAAAACACCCAATATTTTTGTTCTTCTTTCCTCGTCACTAAATTGACTATCAGAGTCGACACTATCTACATACGACATTATTGGTTACTTTTCTTTGCATGTATAGTTTGAAATTTATTTTCATTAATTTTTTTTATAGGTTTATTGCATAAATCCGTAAATATCGTTAAATAAATGTCTGATGTTAAAGAAATATTTCAACAAATGTAACGAGAAAAGTTTGTATCACAGCATAAATTACACATACATGTACATGTATTTGAAAGTAGACTGGTCATTGAGGATGCAATACGCGCGAGATGAAAGGCCAAAGAAATCAACATTAAACTGCATTGTGCTTCTGGTCATACATTTCCTACATATGGTGTCAAATGCAGAATAATTGTTGATACTATGTATAGTAGGTATCGATATCTTACGAAACAAGGGCTCCTATGAATATAGGAATGGGTTGGTTCGATTCAAAAATACATGTATATAGAACTAAAATCGGTTCGAACCGGTTCCTAGTTCTATTATTAAAGTAGAACGAGAACTGAATTGGACCGGTTCGAGTGAACAGTTCTCTTAATGAACCAACTCATCCTATATGAATAGGGTTACAAAACAAGATATATGTAAAATCTCAGCAATCATTGTTTATTAACATCACCTATAACTAATTAAAACAAAAAGAAAAAAACAATTTGCCGGATTCTTGTTAATAATAAAATGTCCAGGAAAAAAGCCCAAGTCCCTGTAGATTGAAAAATCTCTGACGAAAGCGGCGAAATTAGTTATTCTTTACTAGTCCTGTGAAAAGCAGCATCACATTCGTGGTTGAACGAATGTATATAGTTCCATTCTTTCATCTTGGTAGTTTTCCAACGTTACGAAAGTGACATACAGTCAAATTTGATATATAACGAATTTTCAAAAAAAAAAAAAACAGCTAAATCCTGATCTATAACTCTATTCTAATTCCTCCACGACTTTGAGTTTATTAGAAAAGACTAACGTTGAAATCAAAACAAAATATTAGAGCATGATTCAAATAAATTTTGAATCTATAGAATAAGCGCCATCTATGGTCGGGACTAAAATTGTGTTTTCATAATATAAACTTTCAGAATATTACGTTGTTCTTTTCTAATGCATCTTCATTTATACAAACGAATAAGTCGTCAAAATAAAGTTCTATTTATCATTATCGTTATAAAAATATTGTTGGTGATGTTCTAATTATTGCTAAATATATTAACGTTAATGTTTTAATTTGGATGTTGGTCGTTTTGGCATACTTTAGTATTACATGTGCTATTTATTCTTATCGTTATTTCCGTTTAAATCAGAAGTACGCCAAATGCCCACCAGACGATCACATGCAGGTCAATTCGAACGTAATAAATTTTAATATTATTAATGCATGTAGTCATGGGAAACGAGAATACGATGAAACTAAAAAAGTGATGGTGAGATTTAAAAAGAGAATGATGAGATTTAAAGAATGATGATGAGAAAAATAAAGACAATGATGTGTACATAAGGGACAATTCATCCTATTTGTATTCAATAAATAACTTCATTTTGATGCGTAATTATTAAATAAATTCCTCTTTTTTTATTAGACTTAAATAACAAAACGTTCTTCTAGTACCATCTGAAGTGTAAGAACTAGCGGCATCAATTAGTAGAGATAACGAAAACAAATACCCGTGGAAATTATTAATTAGGAACGACCTGATCAATTTTTTCACTCGAACGAACTCACTGGGTAGCAACGTGCAAAAATCATGCCTGAATTTACAAAAAATCTTATAAAAGATTTGACCGAGCTTTTACAAAACTCGGAAGAATATAATATTAGTATCATTACTGGTGAAAATAAAAACACGAATACTTTTCAAGCGCATTCTTTTATTCTACGTGCTCGTTCTGCGTATTTCCGTCGTGTGCTATCAAAAGACTTGGCAAAGAAAGGTGAAAGGATGATTCTTAAGAAACCAAATATTTCATCACAAATTTTTAGGCTTATACTCAAGTATGTATATGCTTTATTTATTTATGATTTATGCATTTAATATATACTGTATATATATTTATATATATATATATATAGGTATTTATATACCAGTGTAATTGATCTTGATAAAGAAAGCGGAGATGATATTTTAAGTTTACTCATTGCCGCAGATGAACTAGAAATTCCCGAATTAATTCACTATGCACAGGATTATCTAATTACAAGAAAGCTTGCCTGGATTCAACAAAATCTCGTAAAGATTATGCGCACCGTCTCAATTCACAAATTATTCAAAAAATTAAATGAGCATTGTCTTAACATAATCAGCGAAGAGCCCCATATGATTTTCGAAGCTAATGATTTTTTATCCCTGGAAGAATCGGTGCTCGTGTCCATCCTCAAACGCGATGATCTAGGTATGGATGAGATTGAAATTTGGAATTCAATTATCAAATGGGGCACGGGAAACACTTTGAGCTTATCTAAAGAACCTGTATCAAAATGGACACCTGAAAACTTTGCCGCTCTCGAAAAGACTCTTCATCAATGCATCCCATTGATTCGATACAGTGATATCTCGAGCACTGATTATTTCGAAAAAGTAATGCCTTATCGAAAAATCATCCCGAAGGATATGAAAACGGAAATTTTGGGTTATCATCTTAAAGATTCGACTCCGCAACCTATTAAAATTTTACCTCCGCGATCAGGCTCATTTGACTCTAAAATTATTAATCTTAAACACACTAAGTTAATTTCATCTTGGATTGATAAAAAAAATACCACCAATTATTCTTGCAAATCGCAATATGAATTCAAACTCCTCTATCGTGGTAGCCGCGATGGTTTTGAAGCCACAAAATTTCGCCAGCTTTGTGGAACTCAAACAAGAACGGTAGTAGTCGTGAAAATAAGCGAAACTGGAAAAATTATTGGCGGCTATAATCCTACCAATTGGGTTGAAAATATTAATTATGGCTATAGTTATCTTAATGCGCCTGATGCATTTATATTTTCCTTCGATAAAAATGATCTTCAAAGTGCAAAAATTTCACGCAACAACTCAGGAAATCAAATAGCATACCGATACAACAATTACCAAGTTGATGATCACTATTTCAATGAAAACTTATATATCAGCGATAACTGTAATCTATACGCGTCGAGCTGGTATTACCATAGGGATATGGAAGAATCTCAAGTTAATTTTAAAGTGGATGAATATGAAGTATTTCAAATTGTACCAAAAGATCACGCGAAGTGAAGTTTAGCCTATATTATAGCCGTCAAAGTCACAACTGTGGTTCCCGCATTATACGTCATTCTTATTAGATATTTTATTCATTTGAATTATTATTGCTATCATTATACTATCATTATATATACCTTTCGTATTTATTTGGCAATACAATGATTTATAGCAGACATTAATTTCCAATATGAAAGGTAATAAAACCCCTCTATATAGTCACCCAATTTTTCTGATTTGTGTTCTTCAACAGAACAATGCTCCAATTAGTAAGGGCAGTGATAGATACTATGTAAGGAGGTATCACAAATCCTATGTTTTCACTAATATAACTTACCTAGCATCGCTTGCAAAAAATGCAAGTGTCGCCGTTGCAAAATAAAATCTCGTGATTACGGAAATTTCTGGAGTAATGTGTATGTGTGTATCACTATTATGTAACGAAGAAAATAAAATATTGTTAATAGTGTCCCGTAAAAAGATCACAAAACCCACGAAATTCACTAAAATCTTATCTCGTAGTACATGTAATGGGTTTTTTCTAAAAGATCGTTACGCATTTAATACGATCTCGTTCTCTCGTGGAGTCAAATTCATTTCGACGATAAATCGAATATATTAAGAAAAAAGAAAACCCAGGAAAGGGTCATTCAATATTTTTTTATCTTCAAAGTTTCGCTTCTTTTTTTAATTACTTAGTAAGGACTTAATATGTGAGAATAAATTGCCTTATGTTTTATTAATTTTTCTATAGATATTTCTGTTCTGGAATAAATACACTTATTTACAAGTACATGTAATATAAAGCAGCAGAAAATATTCGGATCAAATACATTTTCACCGAATGATACATAACGGTTAATATGTAGCTAGATTTTTATCTTATATGTTTTGCTAATAGATAGCCTAAATTCTAAGTATCTCTTCAAGAGTTCTGTTCAATCTCTTTATTTAACTATCTGTTTGTAAATAAAAAATAATTGATATTACTAATTTAATATTTAATTGCTCAAATAATAACTTTCAGAAATGATTTATAAATTTTGTATCTCTATCTAATATTATAATTATAGATAAGTTATATAGTTTGAAGATATTTTTAAAAAATATCTTTACAATATTAGGTACTATTGCTATTGTAATAGTAAATACAAAGTATATTCTTTTCAAAAGTTTATTTATAAATATAACTATTATATTATATTCAGATTTGATAATTGAAAGTTAAACTATAAAATTTATAATAATATATTTCTATTTTTTTTTGAAATAGTAAGAGATTAAAGTAATTCTAAAAATTATTAAATATTACTTTTATTATACTGATATATTTATAACTAGTAATATATTTATAAATACTTTTATTTACCTTTGATTAATAAAATTATTAAAATATTATTGTATATATTTTATCTATTTCAATATATCTTGCTATTAGTATATTATGAAATTTAAATAATATTTTTGTTTTTAGTATCTTATTATTAGATATAACTAAATAATTAGTATTTTTTAAATAAAGCAAATCTTCTTTTAACTTGGAATATTTTACTTTGATCTATTATTTGAATATTATACTATTAAAATTCTTCAAGACTTTATATATTTCTGCAAAATATTTATCTTCTTGATATTTCTTAATTAACTCTTCTTTATTTATAAGATTAATAATGATAATTATTATATTTATCAAATGTAATTAATAAAAAAATGTATTTGCAATAATATTATCTTTATCAAATTTATACTTTATTTCAAAATTACTGGCTTATAAAGTTTCTAACTAGTAAATCTATTTCTTGAAAAGATTATATTATATTTTTATGTATTTTAAAAGATATTATCTGTAATTACTATGAATTTTTGATGGCTTTTAGTATAATAATTTTGATTAGATCATCTCTTTTTAGCTCAGATCTTTATTTTGCATTATTTATATAAGATTAATTTTTATATTAATTTTTATAAAAATCAATTTCATTTTGAATATATAAATAATTATTTATGTATTTAATATATTAGATTTAATATATTATTATGATATATCTATATTATTAATTAAGATAATTAATATTTTTAATTAGATTTCTTTTTAATTTTCTTTTATAATTTTATTTATTCTTTTCTATATTATATTTATATTATTATTTATAATTATTAGATTATGATTAGTTACCCTCTAAAGATATAAATTAAGTTAATTAATTCTATTTAATTTATATATTTTTATTTATAGATTATTATTAATTTATTTATATTTTATATTTATTTCTTTTTTTATAAATAAGATCTCTATTCTGTAAAATAATTTTAGATTTGAATATTTTTAAATAATAAAAATAATTATAAGCTATAAAATTAAAACTATTTATATTATATTTTATCTTATTTATAATTATTAATAAAATAATCTTATAACTTGATAGTGAATATTATTACAAACTATACTCTGAAAGATAGATTTTATCATGAATATAATTTATAATAAGTTTTGAGAATGAAGACTGAAT